CGCCCCGGGGCAGCCACACCTTGCCCGCCAGAGGGCTGCAGCCAACACCTGCCCGGTGGTCGCTTTGTGTTGAGCCAGCGTCCGCCTGGCCTGGCCTCTACAAGCGAGTGGCCCCGTCAGCAGAGAGCTCTCGCTGGGTCGCAGTCGGCTTGGGCCCCGCGCTGGGCCACTGCTGCTCTAGAGCACGGGGTGCCCTGGCCTGAGAGGAGGCCGTCCCATGCTCCTCCCCTGCATGAGGAGACCTGGGCATGGGGCCTGACGGAGGCCGGGGCTGATCGGAGGGAGGGAGGAAGGGTGGCCCAGCGGGGCTCAGTGCAGCATGAACTGGAGGGCGGGCAGCTGCCAACCTACCGCCCTGCCTGGGGCGGGGCATCCGGATGTCTCCCTGGAGCGTCGGGGCCGCGAACCTGCTGCCCCGGGGAATGTCTGTGCACTGACCAGTTCTCCCTTCCCTCAGTTCCCCCATTCGCCCTTCCTGCGCCTCGGCCAGCTGAGCAATGTGGATCTGGACGACGACGTGCGTGAGCTGGTGAGTGGCCCGGGAAGGAGCCAACGCCCCCGGCCCACCCTCTGGCGGCTCCTCCGGCCTCGCGCGCTGGGGCCTGCCCAGGCCGCCACGACGGAGCCTGGCGCTGCTCCCGAGGGACCAGCTCCTCCGGCCTGCAGGCTGGGGGTCTGAGCTGCAGCAGGAAGGCAGGTCCCTTCCCACCTCCTCCTGCTGCGCATGGGAACGTGTCCGTGCAGCTCCAGCACCTCCACCGGGCCGCCCTTCCCGGCGAGCAAGAGTGGGGGCAGCGCTTGGCAGAGCAGGGGGCTCCTTTCCCTGCCTCATGGCGCCCCCTCGGGCCTCACCCCGCTGCGCGGCTTTGGTGCCTCTGAAAAGCTCCCAAAGTGCCTCCCGGGTTCCGGGGTGTCTCGCCGTGGACTCGCCCTGCTGCAAGCCGCGTTCCCCTCCACGGGGCGACTGGGCTGGGGGTGCAGCCGGGGGCCCCTCGGCCTGAGGAGCAGCGCAGTACACGCTGCTAGCACCGGGGCTGTCCTCGCGGCTGCGTGGGCAGAGCGGCGTTGTCGTCGCTGCACACGTGCCGCGCCAGCCCTGCCCACTGGAATTGGGCGGGAAATCCCCGGGCAGCTGCGCGCTCTGCGTAGGACGCTGGCCTGAGGCAGTTCTGGGGCCTGCTTGGTTGATAGACGTTCATAGCCAGCAAGAGGCGGCTGCCCCGTGGTGCCGTCTGGGAGCCTGGCGCGACCAGCCAGAGCAGACGCTGTCCTGCCCGTCTGTGCCCAACGCCCCTGGCAGCAAGCAGACCCCCCCAATGCCGTCTGTGACAAGGGGGGAGCTGCTGCCATTGCCCACCTCCCTCAGCCCCGCTGTGAGGCAAGGCCTGGTGAGACGCCCGGGCTGAGCTGCCGCCCGGGTCTTGTGTCCCCCCAGGAAACGGAGACCCCCAGCCAGTTGCCCAGTGAGATTCCTCACAGCGAGAAGCTGCTCTCGCTCCGATATGAGGTAGGCACCCAGGGGAGGGCGTGGCGAGCCGGGACGAAGCAGGTGGGGCTCTAGCCAGCGGCTGCTGGGGCGGGAGGAGGCTGCGATGTCCGGGGGTGGGGGTGACCTGGTACGTGGGAAAGCTCAGCATGGCTGCTCTGGCGCCTGTAGGATGGCAGGACGCTGTCTCTGGAGGGGCTCCCGGGGGCTTAGTGGAGAAGGGCGCTGGACCCGGCGGGTACGCACAGCAGGGCGAAGCGTGTTTCATTGGGGAGGGGCGGAGCAGGGCAGAAGTTGGCTCTCCCTACGGGGGGGGGTCACCCCCTTCCCCCCACCTGCGTGACCAGTGCAAATGTTTCCCTCTCCCTGGATCTAGAGCCTGGACTATGACAACTGTGAGAACCAGCTGTTCTTGGAGGAGGAGAGGCGCATCCACCACACGGTGAGTCTGGCTGGGCTTGCCAGCCCGTGTCCCGACGAGAGACTCCAGCCACCCCCAGGGGAACTGGTCCAATGTCGCTGCGGCCGAGGGCTAGAAACACGGCTTTTCGGCCACCCAGTGCTACTGGGAGGCCCCTGGGGGCAGAGACTCCGCTTGCTCCGTGTTTGAGCCAATTCCTGTACATTAGGGCCACTCCTAGCTCCGCCAGGGCCTATCTAATACCGGTTTGCTTGGGGGAGACCAGGCGTGGGACCCTCTCTGCCGGGGGGGTTGGAGGAAAGGAGGCTGGTCCAAAGAGCCTAATGGCCAAAGTGATGGCATGAAATTCTGCCGCCTCTACGCAGGGACGCTACCGTTGCTGGCCCGGAAGGCAACTTGTTCTAACCAAACAGAGGCAGGAAGGCAAGGGAGCTGACCCATGAGTCTAAATACCTCAGAGCCAAGCCGGGTCTCCAGGGCATGACCTGGAAGCAGTAGGAAGGAGCATGCGCCAAGGCTGGTGCGTGTGAGGAGGCCGAAGGGCACCAGAAAAGCAAATAGCCGAGCAGAAACCCAGCGATAAAACGTCTTTAATTACTTCAGCCAGGAAACTTGCCAGATCTGGGGCGGGGGTCTGCTGGCCCCCCGGGAGTAACAGCAGCAAGGCTGCTGGCCCAAGAGCAAGGCAGCGTGGGCTCTTTGCCTCAGCTTCCACCACAGAGGATGTGGAGGAGAGGTGTCAAAACAGGATGTGCTCCGGTACCAACTGATAAGCAGGGCGCAGTGCTGCAGAGTAGCGCCTGCCCGCTGGCCAAGGGAAGACGTGCGCTCGGCCGTTGGGCCGTGGTAGAAGTGGAAGGGGGGAGAAAATGTGGTGGTGCTGATATGCGAGCCAACGGTTCAGCCTGAGACCCACGTGCCTGCTCTGGGCCTTTCTGAGCCCATGGCAAAGGGGCAGGAGTGTTGACTCTTTAGCTCAAACATCCAAGGAACGCTCAGGAGAAAGGAAGTCCTTGTTAATAGTGGAATGGACACACAGACCGTTGTCTGCTGTCTGAATGAGAGTCCTTCCCCTCCAGCGAGTCCGGTTTGATCCTCCCAGACTCCTGAAACAGATGAGATGAGGCCAGATCCCCTAGTGTTCAAAAGCATAAAGAAAGCCCTCCCCGGCAGGAGAGGGCAGAGAGCTGGCCAGGCTGTCTGGGAGCTGCCTGGCCCCAGTGCTTTGTGCGGTGCTAAATCGCGAGGAAGGCGGGTTCCTTGGGGAAGGGGCGGGGTGTCCGGGGCGGTGACCCCGCCCTGCTCCCCGCGGGTGCATTTGGCTTGCTGTGCTGGGCCGAAGGAGTCCGATCTGTCCCCCGCAGGCGTTCCGCACAGTGGAGATCAAGCGCTGGGTCATCTGCGGCATGATCGGGATTCTCACCGGCCTCGTCGCCTGCTTCATCGACATCGTGGTGGAGAAGCTGGCTGGGCTGAAGTTCAGAGTGGTGAAGGACAGTATCCTTCCGCTGCGAGGGGCCAGACACACGGGGCGGGCGCAGCCGGGGGTCGCAGGGGCTCGGGGCTATGGAACAAGAGGCTGTCCGCACAGTAGCGCGCAGAGTAAATTACCCACCGGGGACCTCCAACAGGACATGTCTGCAGAGGGCCTGGGGTGTGTGGATCTGAGTGAACTACCCCTGTAGACCTAACTCTGTGTCTGGAGCAGGCTGAAACTCTGGTTAGATCTGGGGCGGCCTGGGCCGAACTAGTGGGTGCCCTCGTGACCTGTGTCCGGAGGGGAAATTTGACCTTTAAGGAGAACAGCATCCCTCTTCCTGGGAGTCCTGTCTGGCTAGCGCCTGAGCATCGAGGTTCCCACAGCCGAGGGGCCTGCTGGCATCGCGTCAGAGGCAGAATAATGGGATATTGGCCCGTGATTCCCTGTTGCTCGCTAGAGAGGAAGGCTGGGTATGAGTCTGTTACTCCCTCAGCTGGCCCTGTCGGTCACGGGGGCCTGTCTTGTGCTCTGCACAATTGATTCCTCTCATGTTGGCCTCTTGCTAATGCGATTCGTGGTCCGTGCGCAGTTCTGCTCTGCGGTGCGGCTGTCAAACCAGCTTTCCCCCTCTCTGCAGACCAGCTCAGTGCCGGGAGCTGGTGCGACACCGGGCAGGGAGTCACCCCGCCCGTGACACTTGAGTTTCTTAACTGACCCTCCCAGATATCGACAAGTTCACCGAGAAGGGGGGGCTGTCCTTCTCCCTCTTGCTGTGGGCCACTCTGAACTCCAGCGTGGTGATGGTTGGCTCCATTATTGTGGCTTTCATCGAGGTAAGCCCCAAGCTGCGGGCCTCTTGGTTTGCTTCCTTCCCCCCCATGTCAGTTCTGCCCCGGAACAGGCGGACTGGGCAGCTAGTGTGACGGACCGGGCCGTGTCTGGGCACAGCTGAGGGCATCTGCTCAGGGCGAATTGCTCAAATTCAAGGCTCCTTACAGCCCCCAGACTGGTGACCTCTCCAAACACGCCACAAACCAGTTCCACAGAGCACTTCAGCTGCCTGCCTGAAGCCTCACGAGCAAAACCCCTCCGCCACCCCAGCAGTATCCATGCCTCAGATGGCCCCGGGCCTCATACACAGGTGACGGGTCTTAGAATCCAATCCCACCTACCCTGAACAAGTTCTGTCCTGTTCTAAGAAACCAGCCGCAGATCCCTGGTCAATTTACCCTCTGGATCTTACCCACAAATCACGCTGGGCTGATCCTTTAGAATCTATATCTAAAGGTTTCTTACCACAAGAAAGAAAAGCCTGAGAGTAAGGTTGCTAAAGTATCCTACATTACATGCATCGAATCTCCCAGTCCTCGATGCAGGCTCTAGCAGAGATGTTACAGCTGCTGGCTTAAAAGTCCTTGTTGCGCATCCTAGGATCAGGATGGGTCCACAGTTCTTTCTGGCCCTTCGATCCCCCTGGGATGAAGTGCTGAGCTGAGTACCAAGATGGAGTCCGCCACATGGCCTCTTTATACATCCTTCCTGGTCTCGTCTTGGCTGCAGCAGGTCACCTGGCCAGCGGCCTATCCCTGTGTCCCCTGCTGGCAGCCCTTAGGTGTCAGCCCTCGTTCTTTAGGTGTGTCCTTGGCCCACTGAGTGCCATTGTCCCACAGGGCCTCGCTAATTAGCATGTCCATAGGCCGGGCTCTGCCCAATGCTCAACCACATGCAGAGAAATATTCAGTATCCACACAGATTACAGATTCCTAACTACACACACAGACATTATACAAACACATGACTAACATACATAGGATTAGCAGACAGTGAGCTTCTATTCAGCACCCCACATGGCCCCCTTTATACCATTTTTGGGGCCAAGACCCCCACCTATGGGTGCAGCAGGGATCTGGCTGCTCCCCTCAAATTCAGTAACGTGACAGCTGGATAACGGTTCTAGTCCAAGTCCCCCTGCTCGGTGGAGCAGGAAGTGCCTTATGCTTTCCTGTGTTCCCTTGTCTGTCCTTCACCAAACATCTGGGCCTTAAACTCTCCTCCCTGCGGGTAGAGGTCACCGCTCTGGCGAGCTGGGTGGGGTTACGTATCTTCGGTAAAGCAGCCCCGGAGCTGCCACAGGTAAGAGATCCCATTGGAAGCGGATTATGGAGGCTTGAGGGCCAGTGTTCCTCCAAGAGGAGGGAAAATGCAGAACATGACAGCTCTCCGGGTGGCTGTTAGCGCCGATGTTTATAACCCTCGTCCCTCTGCGGATTAGCAGAGACCGTTGCCTTGCTACGGTGATGCAAGGGTTTCTCATTAAATGCCTCTGCCTTGGGCCGGCAGCCTTCCGTGAGGGCGCTGCCTCTTGCCGGCTTGAGCCTTTGTTTGTTAAACGCCCCGCCGGGGAGGCAGAGCACAGCCAGGGCAGGGAGCTGACGGTGACAGGTCGCTCGCTGGGCTGGTGCCTCAGCCGGGGGAGGTGACGCCCGTCCCTCGACGTCGGTTGAACTGTCTCTCTTTACGCTCGTTCTGGTCTGGCCTTGGCCGGCCTCGAAATGTCCCGAGTGTCCGAGCGTTTTCGGGGCGAGAGGCTCGGCTGCAGGGTTTTCTGCCACTGAGGCCCACGCAGCAGCCACCTCCCCCTTCTGCCGTTGGGAGCAGCCTGGGCGACGGGAGCGAGTCCCAGTATCAAGGCCTGTCCAGCCCTGAGGGCGTTGAAGACCGACGTCGTGTCCTGTCGGGGCGGGGGCTGTGGCCCTGAGGCAGGATGGGCGCAGAAAGAGCGGAGCCCACGGCGCTCGTAGGCGTCATGCCCCCGCCCCCAAATCGCCTGGAGAACTAGGCCATGCGGCCCTGTGCTGCCCCATGCTCTGGGCAGCAACCTCACTGGCTCCCACAGCTGGCCGCAGCGGCTTCCAAAGAGTCGCTTGGAGTTGGTTTCTGAGGGACCCTCCCAGGGCCCAGCGTATTTTTCCCCACCTCACCCCGGTCTCCTACGAATCCATCCATTCTGCTTCAGGTCTCCTGGCAGGTCGTGCCGGGCCTTGTCTGAGGGCCCTAAGAAGCCGCATAAGAGGCAGCGCCAGCGATTTGGGGGGCTAATCAGCAGCGGCTTCCAAAGAGTCGCTTGGAGTTGGTTTCTGAGGGACCCTCCCAGGGCCCAGCGTATTTTTCCCCACCTCACCCCGGTCTCCTACGAATCCATCCATTCTGCTTCAGGTCTCCTGGCAGGTCGTGCCGGGCCTTGTCTGAGGGCCCTAAGAAGCCGCATAAGAGGCAGCGCCAGCGATTTGGGGGGCTAATCACACTGCCTCTCCACGGAGGGAGCTGCTGGCTAGCCCGGGCCTTGGCTCTGGAACGTGCTTGGGGTGGGGTTCAGATCCCAAAAAGCGAGGCTCCATCTGCCCCTCACGGGCCGTCGTGTGTTCCCCTGGGTGGGGGTGCTGGAATGGGGCGGGAGGGGCCGGTGGGAACCGCTGCGTACGGGCGGCTGCTAACCAACTCTCCCTGTGCTCCTAGCCGGTCGCCGCCGGCAGCGGGATCCCCCAGATTAAGTGCTACCTCAACGGCGTGAAGGTGCCTCACGTCGTGCGCCTCAAGGTAAGGTGCTGGGGTTTGGGGAGAGAGTGCGAGGCGTCCCCGGACTCCGTCGTCCATCCCCCGCCGGCGGCGTGGTCAGGCAGAGCCTGGGGCTGGCAGGAGCTAGGCCGGCCCGGCCTGCCTCCTCCCCGTCTGCTGCCAGCTCCCCACACTCGTCCTGGCTGGGTGCTCACATCCTAGCTCTGCCTCGCCCAGCTGCAGCTGCTGGGGGCGCCTTCCCCTGAGTCACAAGCGCATGACCCAGCGGTCACCCTGCTGCCCAGCTTTGTGACTCCTCGGGGGCGGTCCCTTCGCTAATAGGTGCCCCGGCGCAGATCCCTTTGGGCCCAGCACTAGGGAAATGCAGCATCGCTGCTGGAACTGATTGCAAGGGGCTGTGGGGGGCGACGGCCTATGGGGATGCTCGCGTCCCATGTGCTCAGCCCAGCTGTTCCCTTCCGGGGACCGTTGGTCAACACGCTCCCCTCGGAGGCGGGAAACGGCAGTAGGTGCCTGTACCGTCTGCAGAGCAGCCGGGGGCCCGGCGCTAGCCGTGAGATCTCTCCCCACAGAGTAAAAGGCCCTCCGCGAGGGACCCACTGATGGTTCTGCAAGGCTCCGATGGGTGCGCGTGTGTGTAGTGCGGGGAGTATTTGCTGACCCCTGGATACAGGGGGGCTGTTACTGGACTGCACAGTCCTCTGCCAGCCGTGACTGCAGAGCTGGTTCTCCACGGTACAGCTGTGAAAGGCCAGAGACGAGCCAAAGAACCCGTTAGCACAGGCCTACTCCACTTGGGAAGCCCCGGGGGCCACACTGATATTCACAGCACATGCCGAGGGCTGCAACTTAAGTGTGGTTGCATAACATGCCAATAGCTTCTTTCACACTGATGGGCGTGAATACAAAGATGAAGGCAAGACTATACAACACGCAGGCCCCTTTTAAGTCAGTTCTGCTGGTATTAATCAAATGCAACAGTTCCCCGATTTCCACCCGTATGGCAGCATTTTAATGAGCAATGACAGGCCAGGAATTAACCGCTAAAAGGTGCATCCACACAAGACCGTTCTATCGGCTCCTTTTTTGTTTTGGCTCCCACCCCCGGGCCGCGTGGTGAGCCCCACGTAAACCCAAACGGGCCGCGTGTTGAGTAGCTTTAGCATCTCCGGCTCCTGCCGCTGTAGCTGCTAGCCCCGC